TAAAGCTTAAATTTTATTATCTCATGTGTTCATTCTGATTGGGGAGAAAACGCATGTCAGAGTTTGAAAAGTAATTCTATTATATCTTCTGACACAAAGAATTATCCCCAAAATTTAATCTTTTGCCTTTATCTCTATATAATTTGACTTATTCGTAAAAAATTTATTTACTGAGATAAAATTAAAAATTTTGATTTTTTTTTTAGGAAAAATGTGTAAAATGTCCAAATTTGTGTTGTGATTATTAGATTGTATAAATTTTAATTCTATTGATTTTAAATGAACTCGATAAAGTGTTCTCATATTTTTTCTAAGGATATCAAAATTGAGACAAAAAACGAATCAAAAATGTTGCTTCGCAACACTTTTTATTCGTTTTCTGTCTCAATTTGATATCCTTAGAAAAATTTGGATTTTATATTTAATTTATAAATCAAAGACATTCAAATTCAGTTAGAAAATGTTTGAATCAATCAAAATTAAAGAAAAAGAAAGCCTTGCGAAAAGTAGGAAATTATGTCTGACTGAAACTTGTTTTAACTATTTAATTTAGAAAAATAGAAAAATTTGTCTGACTAAAAATTGTTTTTACTACTTAATTTGCAAAAATACTAAAAATAGGTTATGGAATATGATTAAAATTTATTTTTACTACTTAATTTAAAAAAAATATGAAAATAGAATATTATGTCTGACCAAAACTTATTTTTACCACTTATTTTGGAAAAATATAAAAAAGAATATGACGTTCAACTAAAACTTGTTCTTACTACTTAATTTAACAAATACGGAAAATATAGGATATTCGCAGTCTGACCGAAACTTGTTTTCACTACTTATTTATACTTAATTTTCCTACTAGTATTGAAAAAATACCAAGAATTTAGTATTAATTTTGACTTCTAAGGAAACGTCTGACTAAAATTTGTTTGGTAATTATTAATTGTTATTAATTATAATTATTATTAAATATTATTGTTAAACTAATTATTAATTTTTAATATGATGAATATGATTAATATTCTTAGTAGAAAAATCCAAAAAATAATTTCATCTGAATAAAATTTGGTTTTTCTACATATTTTGCAAAAATACTGAAAATATGATATGCAGTCTGACTAAAATTTATTTTTCTACTTAATTTAGAAAAATACGAAAATAGAATATTACGTCTGAGTAGAACTTGGTTTTACTACTTATTTTGGAAAAATACGAAAAGTAGGATATGCAGTCTGACTAAAATTTATTCTTCTACTTAATTTAGAAAATTACGAAAATAGAATATTATGTCTGACCAAAACTTATTTTTACTACTTATTTTGAAAAAAAAGGATATGACGTCCAACTGAAACTTGTTCTTAATACTTAATTTAGAAAATACGGAACATGTAGGATACTCAGTTAGATAAAAATTTGTTTTTACTACTTAATTTAGTAAAATACGGAAAATAGAATATTATATCTGACCAAAAAATGTTTTACTACTTATTTTGGAGAAATTCAAAAATAGGATCTGACGTCTGACGAAAACTTGTTTTTACTACTTAATTTAGAAAAATTCAAGAAAAAGGATATTAAGTCTGACTAAAATTTGTTTTTTATACTTAATTTAGAAAAATAGGTTATTACGTCTAACCACAAACATGTATGTACTACTTATTTTGAAAAAATTCGAAAAAAAAGGATACGAGGTCTAACTAAAACTTGTTTTACTACTTATTTTAGGAAAAATACATAAAATACGATATGAAGCATGTCTTGAACTTGTTTTTACTGATGATTTAGAAAAAGTACTGAAAATTGAGTACTGCATGTGACTAAAATATATTTTTACTACTTAATTTAGAAAAATAGAATATTATGTCTGACTAAACCTTGTTTGTACTACTTAGTTTGGAAAAATACTAAAAATAGGAGATGCTGACTGACTAAAATATATTTTACTACTTAATTTAGAAAAATAGAATATTATGTCTGACCAAAACTTGCTTAAACTATTTATTTTTGGAAAAAATATTAAAAATAAGTTATAATGTCAGGCTAAACCTTGTTTGTACTGCTTATTTTGGAAATATACGGAAAATTAGAAATTATGTCTGACTAAACCTTGTTTGTACTACTTATTTTGGAAACATACGGGAAATTAGAAATTATGTCTGACTAAACCATGTTTGTACTACTTATTTTGGAAAAATACTAAAAATAGGAGATGCTGACTGACTAAAATACAGTCGGGCCGCAGAACTGTACGGTACCCCAGAAATAACCCCTCCACTTGATTTCAAACTGTACGCTGACGAACTCATCCCCACTATTTAATTTTCAGGACTGTACACTTATATATTTAAGGAGCAAGTTTTCAAAAGTTGATAAATATAATTTTTTTAAAATCGAGATAAACATAAATTTAATAATTTAAATATCTCACAAATCATCATGTCCCTGTTAAATTTAAAAAAAAATTTATTAACAGCGAATTTTCAATTTAAAAACTTTTTGACATAACCAAGAATTTGATAAACAATCGGAACAAAAGTTAGTCTAATGTCATAATTTCGTATTTTAAAAAAAAGTCAAATTAAATTTTAAATTCCTTTTGGTAAAAGCGTAAGGAATTTAATTTTCTAAATTTTGAACATTTTACATATATATTTGAATAAAAATGATAATTTTTTGTCAATAATGAATGATTTAAGTAACATAACCTAAAATTTAACAAATGTTTCTTATTGACAGAAAATTGTAATTTTTATTCAAATGAAACTTTTAATTGTTTTAAATATTCAAAAATAAATTCTTCGCCTTTCCAACAAGACGAATTTAAAATTTAATTTGTTTTTTTAAATTACGAAATTATGACATTGGAATAACTTTTGATTTGACTGTCCGTCAGATTCTTCCTTAAAAGGCAACATTTTCAAATATACGGCACTGAATTTAGTAGCGCCACCGTACACTGTGGAGCACTTAAAAACTAAAGCCAGCGTACAGTTTGAAAGCGTACAGTTCAGAGGCCCGACTGTATATTTTTACTACTCAATTTAGAAAAATAGAATATTATGTCTGACCAAAACTTGCTTAAACTATTTATTTTTGGAAAAAATATTAAAAATAAGTTATAATGTCAGGCTAAACCTTGTTTGTACTACTTATTTTGGAAATATACGGAAAATTAGAAATTGTGTCTGACTAAACCTTGTTTGTACTACTTATTTTGGAAAAATACTAAAAATAGGAGATGCTGACTGACTAAAATGTATTTTTACTACTTAATTTAGAAAAATAAAATGTTATGTCTGATCAAAACTTGCTTAAACTATTTATTTTTGGAAAAAATATTAAAAATAAGTTATAATGTCAGGCTAAACCTTGTTTGTACTACTTATTTTGGAAATATACGGAAAATTAGAAATTGTGTCTGACTAAACCTTGTTTGTACTACTTATTTTGGAAAAATACTAAAAATAGGAGATGCTGACTGACTAAAATGTATTTTTACTACTTAATTTAGAAAAATAAAATGTTATGTCTGATCAAAACTTGCTTAAACTACTTATTTTTGGAAAATATACTAAAAATAGGATATAATGTCTGACTAAACCTTGTTTGTACTACTTATTTAGGAAACATACGGAAAATTAGAAATTATGTCTGTCTAAACCTTGTTTGTACTACTTATTTTTTAAAAAAATACTAAAAATAGAATCAGGAAATGTGTACTAAAAACCTTAGGTTACATCTGACTGAATCTTGTTTTTACTATTGATTTTAAAAATGTACGAAAACTATAGTGTCTGACTTAAATTTGCGTTTGGAAAAATACGAAAAAAAAGAATATTATGATGTCTGACTAAAACCTGTTTTCACTAAGTAATTTAGAGAAATACGAAAAAATAGGATATTAGATTTGACCAAAAATTTTCCTTATTGATTTGTAAAAAGCATAAAAAATTGGATATTACGTCTGTCCTGAACTGGCTTTTACTACTGATTTGGAAAAAGTATTATAATTTAGTATTATGTCTTATGCAAGAGCGATTAATTAAGAATTTACAATTTTATTTGACTGGTTGTTTTAGACACATTTTTCCTAATTATGAAAAAATGTTAATTTTAATTTAATGCTACGATTCTTGGTTCCAGATATGAATTGCTAAATTTTCTAAATGGATTATGGGGATTTTTAAAATTAAGGGATTTTCTTTCTTAAGCTTTGGTATAAAGCGGCTCACAGCCTCTCGTTAAGGTGAAATGGTAATTGTCTCCTAGAAAAATTTCTCTTGACTTTCGAAATGCCTTATTGGAAATTGTATAGGAGAAAATTTGATTTAATGAATATTTTTGTATTCGTATAATGAAATGATACTAATTAAATTATTATCTACTAGCAAATATTACACGAAACGTGGTACTCAATTTATTATTATTATTATTTTGAAAATTAAAAAATTACTTTACAAATCTTTTATATTTTCAAATATCAACTTTAATTTTTGAATAATTTTTTAAAAAGTTGAACCAAATTTGTAAAACCAGTGTTATTAATATAGATAGATTCCTCTTTTGAAAGCATTCAATAAATCATGATTATTAATGAGTACTGTCTCACTAAGCCGAGACGATTAATGCCAGTATTAACTGGCAGTTACTGAAAGTAACCTGGGCTATAATTGCTCTTTTTCTCTATAGATAAATTTCGAACACTTTTCGCAGACAAAATGGAGAAAAAACGAAAATATAGAAAAAAAAATTGTTTAAGAAAAGTTAAAGAAAGTTAAATTTGAGGATTTTCCTCAAATTTAATTTTCCTTAATTCTTCTTAAACAATTTTTTTTTATATCTCCACTATTTTTAATAGAAATATAAAGTGTATAAGTACAAGTGTATGAGAATAATTTCTTAATTACTCATGTTGGAAATTTTCCAACTTCAATTAGCCTTGCATCCAATTAAAATGAGAATAACAATTTTAATTAATTATGAATTCTTTTTTGTTTCAGATCATCCAAACGTTAAGGCATACCTGAGTCATGGAGGACTTTTGGGTTTAACTGAAGGTGTTTACGTGGGTTTACCAATGGTTATAGTTCCTATGTATGGAGATCAGTTTCATAATGCAGCAGCAGCTGCTGCCAGGGGTGCTGCAGTGATCGTGAGATACGACGAGCTTGATGAGATAACCCTCAAGAGTGCCCTTGATAAAGTGTTCAACGATACTAGGTAATTCCCCTTTCATATACACGATACTAAGGGTTCATTCCATCATCCTCAGAAATGCTCTGTAAAATGTTACACATAATGATGTAAAACCACTTTCCAACCACTTGAAAATTAATTACTATTTTAAACACAGAGAGTATTTTTAATAATTTCATTAAAAAATGTTGATTAAACATTTTTCTTCTAATTTAATTTTTTTTAAATTATTCTCTTATTTCTTAACTGAGTAATTAATTTTTACATATTTTGGTTTAATGGAGTTTTTTTTTTTTACTATTTCTTAGCGTTGTGGGAATTTTTTTTAAAGTGGAAATTTAAAATTTTGTTTTTGTATATATAGAATATAACAATATGTACGCCCTAGAGTGAGTGCTAGAGAAATGTATATAAACATGTAATATATTTTGCATATTTCAATTTAATTTAGCTTTTGTCACTTTATTTTTCATATTCGCCAGAAATCTCTACTCTCATTCACTCTAGAGTCTCATCTCTTTTTCTTGTATTATTTATTCTTGCGCTGTGCACATTCATTTTCTAAATCTCGCACATCTCGTTTCTCTCAACAATTTCATTTGTATTCTAATTTTATTTAGATTTATATTAGTTGGTTCAATCCACTTTCGTATATAACTGTCACAAGTTCCCAGTATAGCTGTGAAGAAAACTAGTGTAATTGAAATGATTAATGGATTTGCGTTAGTTCCCTGCTTTTGCCATAGCTTTACATTTCGTTTTAAGAGAGAAGAATTGCAGTGAAAAAAAAATATTCAAATGTTTCAAATTACCCGGCTGTAAAAGTTGTATATAGAATTTTACTAAAATCATTCTATATGAATCATTCTATTTGAATTCTAGTGAATATTCTTTAGAATTTCACTAGAATGATTCTATACAATTTCTACATGAATTCTAATAAATTTTAGTGATTTTTAATTGGAAAGAATATAAATTACGTGAAAGAATTTTTTTAACATTATATTATTGTATTCTTTTTAGGAATTCAATTATTATTTTTATAAATAGTAAAATTCTTTTTAGGATTTCAATTATATTCAAAAGTAATAAAATTCTTCGTAGAAATTCAATTATAATCGAAATTTTTTTTTAATTCTCCGCTAAATTTCAATTATTTTCATTAATAATAAAATTATTTTTAGGAATTCAATTATTTATATAAATAATAAATTTTCTATAAGTATTCAATGAATTATATTCAAAAGTAATGAAATTTATTTTAGAAATTCAATTATATTCAAATTTTTTTTTAAATTCTCGTCAAAATTTCAATTATCTTTATAAACAATAAAATTCTTCTCTGAAATTCAATTACATACTTTTAATAATTTTAATGAAATACTTCGCAAAAATTCAATTATATTCAAAAATTTTTAAAAGTTCTCATTAAAATTTCACTTATCTTTATAAATAATAAAAATCTTCTCTGAAATTCAATTATTTTCAAAAATTTTAACAAAATTCTTTGCAAAATTTCAATTATTTCCAAAAAATTTACTCAATTCAATGATTTTCAAAATCTAATATTTTAATAAAATTTCCCAAACAAATTCAAGTATTTAAAAAAATTTAAATAAAATTCTACGCAAATATTTAATTATTTTTATAAAATAATAAAAAATTTCTTAGAAAATCAATTATTTACAAACTGTTTATAAATTTCTTGGCAACATAAGTCAATAATTGTTATGAATAATAAAATTTTTACAGCGATTCAATTATTTTTTTAAATAATAAAATTCTTTTTAAGGATTTCAATTATTTTCTTAAATAGTAAAACTCATCGCTGAATTTCAATTATTTTTAATACAATTTTGATCAAATTTCATGTAAAATGTAATTATTCTTTAAAAAATGTATTAAAATTCGTCAAAAGAATTCTTTATGAGAATTCAATTTTAAGAATCACTCAAATATTCAAAAAAATAATTTTTTTGCAATTAAATAATTGAATTCTAGTAGAATTTTCAAAAACAAAAAAAATTGATTTAAAAATGAATTTCAGTTAAAAACAAATGAATTTGAAAATTCTCGAAAAACTTTTTGAAAAATTATAAAAAATAATGGATTTATAGAAAAATTTTAGTTAACACTAAAAAAAAATTTAATTTTGAAGAAGTTACAAATTATTGCAGAAATTCAATTGTTTTCAAGAGGAATAAAATCCTGTGCAGAAATTGAATTAGATATATATATATTAAAAAATAATAAAATTCTTGTTAGGAATTCAATTATTTTCATAAATAATAAAACTCAATACAGAATTTTAATTATTTTTAATACAATTTTAATCGAATTTCTCGGAAAATGTAATTATTCCTAAAAATTTTATTAAAAATCGTTCGAAAGAATTCAATTATTTAAAAATATGTTGATAAATTTCTTTATGAGAATTGAATTTTAAAAAAAATTCAATTGTTCGATAAATTATTTATTTTTGTATTTAAATAATTGAATTCTATTAGAATTTTCTTTTAAAAATTGATTTAAAAATGAATTTCAGTTAAAATTGTATGAAAATAATTTGAATATTAAAAGCAATAAAAGCTGAAATTTCTAGAAATAATTGAATTTTAAAATTAATTTTTTTGAAAAAAAACAAATTTTTTTTTAAACAAATATGAATTGTAAACCAATGTATTTGAAACTTCTCAAATAGCTATTTAAAAAATTATTAAAAATAATAAATCTATAGAGCAATTTTAGTTAAAAACACTAAAAAATTGAATTTTAGAGACATTACAAATTATTTGCAGAAATTCAATTATTTTCAAAAGTAATTAAATTTTTCTTGCAAAGTTCCGTTAATGTTTAAAATTAAAAAAAAAATTATCGTCAAAATCACAATTATCTTTATAAATAACAAAATTCTTTTCCAAAATTCAATTATTTTTAAAAATTTTCCAAAATTCAATGATTTACAATATCTACTATTTTAAATATATTTCCCAAAAAAATTCAAGAATTAAAGAAAATTTTTAATATTGTACTAAAAAATTTAATTATTTTTATAAATAATAAAAATGTCATAGAAATTCAATTATTAATAAATTTTTTATAAATTTCTTCGCAATAATTCAATTAATTTCATAAATAATACTTTTTTTTGTGAATTCAATTATTTTATAGATAATAAATTTGTTTTAGGAATTCAATTATTATTTTTATAAATAATAAAGTTCATCGCAGAATTTTAATTATTTTTAGTATAATTTTAATCGAATTTCCCGAAAAATGTAATGGTTCTTAAAAATTTGATTAAAATTTGTCAAATGAATTCAATTTTTTAAAAATTTGCTGATAAAATTCTTCATAAGAATTAAATGTTAAAAAACATTCAATTATTTAATAAAACATCTAATTTTTGTATTTAACTATTTATTTCTTTTATTTTAAAGAGAGATTTAATTGAAAGTAATGAGGAAAATTTCTTTGAAGATTTTCCTTTACTATTTTTTTTCTTATTGGATATTTTATGTTTATTTTTGATTTAGTATTAATTTCAAGTCCTTGATACTTTTAGATTATTTTTTATTTTTTTTTCTTTGCTCTCGTATCTTTCTTTCGAATGGAAGGGTTCACCTTTTTTCTATGCATTATGTGAATTCGAAGCACGCTTTGGGCACATGGGATGGCGTAAACGCAATGTACGTGTTCGTATCATATCACCCTTTCGATCTTCAGTTCTGGTTTTCTGAGGTAAAAGGAAGTGGTAGGGGTTTTGGTATTCTCATGCCACGTGATGGCCACCTGGGAAATTTCACGATGGCACCAGGTTTCAAAGTTTCACTCCGGGTTTGATGCGCTCCACTTCAATGACAATTATTTATTGCCAACTGAATGCCAATTACTTGGCGAAGTAACAGTTATCACCGTTTATCACATACACACCGTATACTATCAAAATTAAGGAGAATATAGGTAGAGGACGATATTTTATTTACTTTTTAATTTACGTGCTTTTCATTAAGAAAAACTCTACTTGGAAAAAAATTCTTCTTTTTACATTCTGCAAAATTTATAAAAGAAGAATATGAATTTGCTGGCTGTTATTAATTATAGTTTTCACTGGTAGAAAATATTTTATCCGAATTTTTAAATATATAAAAGAAGTCTATAATCAGGATTGTCACAGATCAGAGCAGTCAGGGAATTCAGAAAAAGTCAGGGATTTTTATTAAGAGTGATGAAAAAAAATAAATTTTTAGAATTCATAAAAAAATTCTGAATTTTGTTTTCTTTTTTATTTGAATCATAAACAATTAAATTACCACGAACTCCAATACAAATACTTCATTTTTTTCAATTTACAACAATAATTTCTTTTTTGCTGGAATTAAACCTTAAAAAAATTTTTCTCACTTCAATGATATTCAATCTCTAATATTTTAATAAAATTATCCAAAAGAATTAAATTGTTTCAAAAAAATTTTTATAAAGTTCTACGTAAACATTTAATTATTTTCATAAATAATAAAAAAATTTCAAGAATTGAATTATTTACAAATTTTTTTTATAAATTTGTTCGCAATAATTCAATTATTTTCATTAATAATAAAATTCTTCTTAGGAATTCAATTATTTTTATTATTAATAAAATTCTTTTTACGAATTCCATTATTTTTATAAATAATAATATTCTTTTTAAGAAATACAATTATATTCAAAAGTAATAAAATTCTTCTTAGAAATTCAATTATATTCAAAAGTTTTAAAAAATTTTCAGCAAAATTATAATTATTTTCATTATTAATATAATTCTTTTTAGGAATTCAATTATTTTCTTAAATAATACATTTTTTATAAAGATTCAATGATATTCAAAAGTAATAAAATTCTTCGTAGAAATTCAATTATATTCACAAATTTTTTTAAATTCTCAAAAAAATTTCAATTATTATTATTTATAATAAAATTCTTCTTAGGAATTCAATTATTTTCATAAGTAATACATTTTTTACAAGGATTCAATAATATTCGAAAGTAATAAAATTCTTCCTAGAAATTCAATTATATCCAAACATTTTTTTAAAT